TATACATGTATATATGTACATGCATATCTGGTTTTCTGAAAACAGTGGACATCCTCTAAATTAAGACTAATACCCTACCAAAAAGCAAATACGTAAAAATGACAAGACACATTCTGAAAGCTACAATAAATAAATACAATAAGAGAAAAAATTTCTGCAAGCCACATACAGAACAAGTGACGTTAATGATAATTTCGATAGGAGTTCAATAGGTTCAGAAATTCACCCTACTGCTTCTGATTTTTTCAAAAATACACATGCATTCAGTTAGTATCTTCAGAATTATGCCTGCTTTGCAATATTAAAGAATTGCTGCATTCTTGTATGCCATAAAATTTTAATTGAGCCACTTTTAAAGATTCCAGGGTATTTATGACACTGCTGTGTGATAATTATTCTGACTACACTGTGTATAATCACCACACAAAACCTTCAACTTCATATTAACAGCTAAAGAAAACAATATTGAGCCAAAAATTCTGGGGCAAATTTTCAAGTGGTATAAATCAGTATACATCTGTAACTCTGATGAAATTAAGATGATCTGCATTAGATTCTGTGTATTTTTTCTGCATGTCAGATTTCCCTAGCAAAACTAAGTGCTCACTATATTGGCCATAGTCAACTTTCAGCTGTTGTAGGCTGGAAAATGCACAAGCTCCTTTCACAGCACAAAGAAGGAAAAAAGGTATTCCTCTTTACCCATATATAATAAAGATGGACACTGCAGTGAGTTCTGGAGTGGATTTGTGTATGCCTGTATTTTGGGGTTTTTATTGTTTGTGATTTTTGGAGAGGGTTTTCTTGTTTGTTTTGTTTCAAGGAGGGTGTTGAGGTGTTGGATTTTTGAGGGGCTTTGGGGTTTTTTTTGGGATTCAATACAGTTAACAGCAGATTTTGTGTTTTTCAGTGACACAAATGACTACATTATTTGGTACTTCAGTCAAATGCCTAGTACTTTTAGGTAATTGATGTAACAGGCTTGTGATCCCTACTTACTGCAAAGAGATGATGCCCTGGTCCCTTAATGTTATCAGGTTTCGAAAATAAGTTTTTCATATTTTTTAGAACGAAAGCAATGCTTGGTTTCCAACAGCAAAGTTGAATTCTTCCAGTGTTGTTTCTCAACATAACTGAATAACAGAGTACTTCAGTGGTGGCCTTTGTGTAATCAACACATGTTCTTGTCACTTCGTGCTTGAGAGGAAATTAGAAGACATTTTCCTTTCATACCTAATTCCAGCCAATTTCCTCATCCTTCTCTCTTTTACACATGAGCAATTTTAAGTAGTGTAAATAACACCATTTCCCCTAGTTTTTATTTTAGGTTTCCTTTCCCAACCCCCCTACCCTTATAATACTTTGCTTTCTCATCAGAGAATAGGCAGGAAATTATCCAGTTGCATTTTATATTAATTTTATCATTAGTCACTACTACTTAATGTATGTATTTATGCAAATTTATGCCTAAAGCAAATGGTCTCTAATCAGTTCATACATACCTGAAAAACTTAGGTTTTCAATAGCAAATTAAATAAATGCTTTCAGTGACCATTTGGTATGTTTGCAGGCAAAGTCCAGTTGTGTGAGCATACCGAGACAAATGCATGTGAGCACACATCCCTACAGAAATCCTCTCCTCTGATTACGGAATATTATCCCAAAATAAACATTATAAAAAAAAAATTGCACAACCAGAAGGCCTCAAGTGATGCAAAAGCTGTGCTGGTTTACACCTGTGGTGACGGGTGTACAACTTGCATCTACAAACCAAACACATCAGATCTGTCCATCCACAACCAGCACACAGAAAGGGGACGTCCTTTGCCTGCAAAGTCAAGTTTAAAGGGTGATCTTGCTGCTGGTAGCAATTCATCCTACCTCAGATCTCCATGGCTGCTGCTGAAAAACAAAAAGTCCTCCCTTTTAATTTTTTTAAAATGTCTTTTTATCTTGAGTGTGCTGCATTACAGCAAACACAAGGGGAGTTAGAAATGCTTGAGCACAGCGCAGACTAATCACCACGTCACTCAAAAAGTGACCTAAACCTTTAAAAGCTTTTTTGCACACCGTTGTCATTAAAACGCGCTGCCTGCATTCTGATACCAACGGAAACAAAGGAAAACCGGGAATACCAGAACCTGCAGCACTCGCATCTGTGGGAGAGCAGCGAGCACCACAACAGCAGCAGCAGCAGCGATGGCGAGGGAAAAAACCCCTCATTTATAACCAGTGACAACTAAAACCTATGAAGTTTTTAAAAGAATGTGATTGTTGTCAAAAGGAATTGGGTACAACAATGCTGCGTTCAGCTCTGGTTCCACTCAAAGCCGTGGCTGAGGGGCTCTGGGAAAGCTGCTGGAAGGCTGGTGGGCACAGACCAGCAAGAAAGTGAATTTTGCATACTGTACGGATCATCGCTCAGTTCAGGGCAGTCATATTGAATCTGTGATCAACCAATTGTGCTTCATGAAACCGTCAGCCCTCATTTATGTCTAGCTGTTTTCTTCTGTCCTGCTGTAAACAAGCTCTGCTCTGAGCTGTCTCCCTACCCTTATCTGCTTACGAAGATCACACAGACAGACCTCATCAGCAGCCTTAGAGTTAAAGTTAAAGTTACTGCTTCCAGACAGCAGTCCCCATGCAAGCTGGAAGTCAAAAAGAAGAGCAACTTTGGAATGACAGAGTTTTAGTTCCTTTTAGGAAATGCATACCTTAGATTCATACACATACTGGCATGTTATGTCTCTTTCATGAAATTAAATTAGGTGTTCCTAATATGAACAACTGTTTCTAACATCAGCAAACTAGCTCAGCAGATTCATCCATGGTTTTGTTTGTAGGTTGGTTGTCTTGTTGGTTGTTGGGGTTTTTTGTTTTTTCTTTTTCCTTTGGGGCCTTGTTTGAATACAGCCAAAAGAGAAGTAGCTGGAAATATTGTCAATCTGGTAGGGCTCCAAGAACCTAATAATGCCTGAAATGCTCTAAGGAGTGTAACGATGGTAAACAGGAACAGGTATGTTGGCTTCTGTTCTCATTCACTTCAGTGAGAGCATTAGCCTTTCAACAAAAAGCAGAGCACAGTTTTCAGAGAATGATCCTCTCGCAGAAAAAGGGATGGAGCTTCACTCAGTAGGCATTCCTCTGTGAACCCACTTCCACACACAAATACATTAGTTGGTATTTACAGCATTTAATTCTTGCAACCAGCTGCTAAGTCCCTGTTAAGGCTTTCCTTTATGCAGCTGGAGCTGGAACCTTTTCCTTTCTCCCAGCCTATTACTTTGTCTATTTAAGGGATGGCAGCCAAGTAGAAACAGCTTGGTATTTGCACCTGTCTGCTTTAAGCACTCCATGTTAGATTTTGCAGAGAACAAACTCCTCATTGCTAAAAAGAATGACACTTAGTAGGGTCAAAGATGTTTTTAGCTGACTCCGCAGCAATCAAAAAGAAATAAAGTTAAATTAACAAATAACCCCACACTTTGTTTATTCTAGCTAGACAATGAGGCTAAAGGAAAAGGCTTGTTGTAAAAGAGCAGCTCAGTGTGTAGGTGGAAGACATAACCCTGTGTGTCTGGTCTAATAGAATACCAGGAACAGCTAGGCATGAGTGAACCTGCACGCTGCCCACGCAGGAGCACGTGGGAAAGCTTTGCCTCTTCCCCTATAAAACACATAAATGCTTCAGAAAGCAAACATGTGCAAAGAATTCTTCTGAATTTCTACATACCTTTTGAGGACCCAGAGAAAGCTTTACTACCTAGACAGTCAGACCTATGAGAAAATTGTCTTTCTATGATTAAAAAGCAGTGTATGCTCCATTCATGGGTATGCTCAGAGGAGTGCAAGCGTGGCCGTACAGAGCCCCACTAGCTGGGGTGTAAATCATCAGTGAGGGTGTGCATCAGGCGAGTAACCCACGTGTGATCAGCCTTATCAGCCTTACACAAACTATCTTAGCACACTTGCTTCTTGCTAGGAAACACACACGGTGCTTTCAGTCAACTTTCATTTACAACTGCACTGAAAGAAACAACAATCTCACTGCTGTATTAGTTCAGCCACTAAGAAGTAGTCTTTTTATTGCTTGCTCTTAAAATAGAAAAGCCCTCAAAAAACTCAAGCTACAGAGTTGATGACAAGAACAAAAATGCCAGTGGAAGAAAAAAACTAGAAGGGAAAGAAAACAAAGTAAAACATACAATTTATTAAACAAAACATTGGTGCTGCATTTTGATTTCATAAATTGTCCCCATTTGTACTTCCTGTTTAAACAATAACTAACATGATGATGGGTTAAATGAAGTTGAGATTGTCACAAACATGGCCTCACTAGTAATTAATGTAGTTTAATATAGTTGTTGGCACACATCTCACATGACAGATAATGTTCCAACATGTCACTGATAGGACCTTTCAGCACAGCTTTAGGAGATCTACCAGGCATTGCTGAGGTTGGTTGGGTCAAAGGGTTGAACCATGTGTAATTCAGAACAGAAGAGGTCCCACGGTCACTCCACAAAAACAATTACACTACTTATTTCACTCCATCCCTTGCCCGAAATTCACAAGCCTCACAGTTTCAGCGCAGTCAATCTCACTCTGCCCTGGGGCTATGAGCCACATGAAAATATGTGGTGCTGTGTTTATAAATCTAATCAAAAATAGAAACAGTAGACAAGCACAATGAGGTCCTACTATGGATCATGGGAATTCTCTAAATTCTGAAGGCACTTTTGTTTAACTTCTGTGGGCCTTCTCCTACCATTACATTGTCTGGTACTCTCGTTAATCATCTCCTTGACTTGTCAATGCTATAAAGGAGCCTATGCGTCTGCTGACTTCCCTCCCATCACACTACAAATAATATTATGAAATAGCAATGCTAGGAATAGTCCCTTTGACTTTTCTCTTTGTAAAGCATGGCTTTTTCTTACTTACCTCTTTCTCCATGCCAGCTTGCCCTTTCTCAGACCTGCAGCAAAAAATGCTTCCTCCTGCAACAAAGGAAAGGCAGTATATCTGAATTTTCAGTCTGCAGTTCTTAATACCACTAGGTCTAACACACAGACTTGCAGACTACCAGCCCATAAACCTGCTGGGATGGGGGTGAGGGGGGTGCTTTCCTGATGCCATCCCCTCTTTGACCTGGTCAAAGAGCAAAGGGATGACGTGGTGCTGCTCCTTCATTTCCTTTTGAAAACAAATTTGCATCAGATCATTTAAAAACAAACAAAAAAAAAACCCTACTAACAAAGATAAACAAAAAAAACATAATTTAAGATAAGATGAAGCAATGCCAACAAAAACCCAGTTTAAAGTGGAAGCAGTCCAGAAGTAGATCATTTCTACCACCACAGAGTAACAAGTAACATGACACAGAGTTTGCTGTAGAATACACCTTACCTGAAGACTACAGTACCAGAGCTGTCAAACACAGGAACGCTTCTGTAATCTGGTATTTACGTGGGTCCCACTTGTGCCTCATTCCCTATGCTGGGATTTCCATTGAAAAGATGAAAATTTTCCTCTACTTTGAAGTTATAATTAAGGAAACATACAATAACTTCACAATTTATATATCATGTCAGCAAAAAGGCCTCAATTTTATACCAGCTACTTTTGTCTCTATGTGGGAATAAAATTTATTAATTCAAAATGGCCAGACAGGTTGCCCCTGTGCCCACTGAAATCAATGGCAAAACTCAGTCTGACTCCACAATTGCAGGACCTGACCCACAATGAATAACAAGCTTCTTCCTTGGCCAGATTTTCCCTTGTGCATTTACACAAACAGACTTTCAGGTTACTTTGCTGAGCCTGAAAACAAAACAAGACTTTGAACAATTAAAAAGATCCCTTCAGAGTTCCTCAGAAGCCATAGGTGACCTTCTGGGTCAGAAGATGCCCAGTACAAAATACATGTTTGGCCCCACTTGAGGAAACTCTCTCTCCTGAGGGCAACAGGCAAAGAAGTGCCTAATTCTGAGTATGTGCTTAGATTTCATTGAAATCAATACAATGGACAGTGGATGGGGCCACAAATGCTCCATGGAAAAAGGCTGCATTGTCACTCCAGTTTCTCACTAATGAATGAAGGGCTGAGCTTTTGCCCAGGCTTTGCTGATGCTGAGAGCCTGCTGACCTTTGCCACCACTCCTTGATTTCGGTGCCCTTCTTGGGGTGCCAAGGCCATGGAAGCAATGCTGGGGGCTGCGAATTCAGCAGCTCCTGCTTCTACTAGAGCCAGCCTTGCCCAAATATCCCCTGCACCACAGCCCACAGCTGTTGCAAAGCTCTCTGCTCCAGGGCACTGTGCAATGTTGAACATAAAGCCCCAGCAAGACCCTGCAGATAGGCTCAAGTCACGTATCTGGTCATTGTATGTCCCAGAAAATAACCCCAATTACAGTTCCAAAATCTGGGATGGGTTTTCAGGACAAGGTAGCACATGCATTTCTTTTCCAGTGACTGGAACTGTACATCCACTGGATGCAACAGGTAACTGGTTTCAAGGCCAATGGCACAGCACATTGCTTGTTACAACTCAAAGGGGAGCAGCAATAAAGAACCACCTGAATGAACCAAAAGCAACAAAAGCTTGAAAGGGCTCCTTCCCTCTTCAAAGTAGAATGGTGAGAAGCTGCCAGCAGAAGAGAACTGATCAAGACATAAACTGTGAATTCGACATTTTCATCCATGGCCAACATCTGTGCATTGTAGAAGAGCCAAAGATGCAGCAATAAGGACTTGTGAAACCACAACAGTCCAGGAATCCAAACATTAATGGGAAGACTTGGAGCTTCATCTTAAAAAATATGATAGATGAAATAAGGACAGATAAACAATGAGTTCAGAAGAGACATTAATAACATTAGGATCTAAACACTGATTTTCTTAGAGTTTGAGAACTTCCTATTATGTGGGTTTTCCGGGAAATTTTTTTGTTTGTTTGCTTTGGTGGGGGACACTTTATTGGTTTTTTTTAAATGAAGGTGTTAGACATTGTTTTTCCTTTTTTCTTTGTGGTACCAAACACGTTCAACACTGCATCAATTGATGCTGACTGTGGCCTTAGTTCACATCGCCAGCCTATTTTTTTTATCTGGATAACAGCTGAATCATTAGCATTAAACTAGCTTGCAGTCCTGAGAGAATACAGCAAAAACAGAGTACATGATCTTCTCAGCAATCAAAACATAACACAAAAAGTATTTGTCAGCCTACCAGGTATTTTATTCCATACCCAGCTGATGTATTTTGCATTAATTAGGGATGGACTTTAGCTATTTTTAAGCTCATTTGTAGTAAAATGGCAAAGCCAAACAATTACTTAGAAGTTTTAAACTGGATATTCCACATTTTTTTCCCAATAATACTTTTTATTTCCACAAGAGGAGACACTAAGGATTCTAGATTAAATATATAAGCTATATTAACAACTTTCTGTAGTGAAAGTAATCTATTTTTAATACAAAAATGGAGGAATTCGAGAGATGCACAAAAGCACTCTTAGCATCACAACTCTATTAGATCGGGGAGAGATGAAAACAACACACTTTTCCATATGCTCAGGAGCATGCTCAGGTACACATTTCTCACAGTAGCTGATATTTTATGCTGCATCAGCAACCAGAAATCACTTGGACCAGTGTACAACAAGGGCCTCACAAATGTAGCCATAAAAGGTGAAGTTTTCACCATGCTGCCACGCAGCAGGAAAGAACCCTGCAGAATCTCCCCAGAGCACACCCCAGCACACAGGAACATCATCACTGGCCAAGGAGAGCAGTGCCAGGCACAGCTGAGGTGCTGGAGATGGCTGGGGGAGAACCAGCAGGCTCACAGAACGGGAACAGTTTGGCATCTGCCCCCACTCCTCCCTCACCCTCACCTGGGGCACCATTCATCACATGCTAAGAAGCAGTGCTGTGGGATCCCTGTGCTACAATAGCAGCAGAAACCACCGAGTAAATGATAACCCTAACAACCCTGCTTGTAATTCCCATTGGACTCTCTCACAAATACCAGGTAGCCAGCCTTGGTCTTTAAGAAATATTTCTTCAGGGGAAAATTGCACCTCCAGTGAAGAGAATCCATCAGTCGCTTAAATTCAGCAGGACTGACCTTTGGAGCCAAAAGCACTGTGCTTATCCTCCTTTAATCATCAATTTTGGGAGCAGGTCCTTCAAAGTCATCTCTGATCTGTGCTATATTTTTTCTTTTTAATTTTTCTTTTTTTTTATTTATAAAGAAAGGACCTTACTGCAATATATATTTATAAAGATCATTAACACACTCAAAATTAGGCTCACATTCAATTCCTTCACTTGATAGTTATGATGTTCCTAGCCTTTTTCTGTGTGCCTGAAAAGATTGATAGATACATGTTTTTTCTAATGATAAACCTCAGTAGGCAGCTAAGAACCACTCAGCTGCTCACTCTCTCTCTTTCAGCGGAGTAGGGGTGAGAATCAGAAGGATAAAAGTACAAAACTCGTGGATTTAGATACAGATAGTTTAGAACTATGGGCTGATTTGGGTTGAGGAGGACCTTAAAGATCATCCAGTTTCCAATGTCCCTGCAATAGGCAGGGACACCTTCCACTAAACCTGGTTGCTCGAAGCCCCATCAAACCTGGCATTGAACACTTCCAGGGATGGGGCATCCACAGCTTCTCTGGGCAACTCATCACCCTCCAGTAAAGTATTTCTCCCTAATATCTAATTTAAACTTAATCTATTTTAATTTGAAGCCTTTTGTTTGTTCCGTTTTGTCCCATCACTATGTGCTCTTGTAAAAAGTCTTTCTTCATCATTCTCGTAGGCTCCCTTCAGGTACTGAAAGGTCATGATCAGAATACCCTGAAGCCTTTTCCAGGCTGAACAATCCCAGTTGCCTTCACCTTTCCTCATAGGAAAGGTGCTCCATCCCTCTGATCATCTTGGTGGTACTGCTCTGGATTTACTCTGACAGGTCCATATCCTTCCCTCCTGTGCTGTGGACTCCAGAGCTGGGTGCACCACTCCAGGTGGGGTCGAGAGTGGGAGAATAACTTCCCTGCTGACCATGCTGCTTTTGATGAAGCCCAAGATATAGTTGGCCTTCTGGGCTACCAGAAATTTTTAAATTAGGGGAAAAAAAAAAAAAGGGAGTAGGGAGGGACCAGCAAGCAAACAGTGATGCAAAATAAAATGACTGCTCACCACCAATCGACTGATGTCCAGCCACTCTCCAAACTCCTTTCATCCACTACCCTCACACTCAGTTTTATTGCTGGACATGACATCATATGTTATGGAATATCCCTTTGGTCAAACGGGGTCAGCTGTCCCAACTTCTTCCCCTCCCAAACTCTTGCATAGCCCCAGCCTACTCACTGATGGGGTGCTATGAGAAACAGGAAAGGTTTTGACATTCTGTAAGTACTGTTCAACAATAGGTAAAGCATCCCCTTGTTATCAGCACTGCTATAACAAACCCAAAACATAGCTATTAAACCCCACACAAGCTACTATGACAAAATTTAATCTCAGCCCAAGCCAGCAATTCCAGTGGAATCTGAAAACACCAAAATCTTAGGTTTCATGCCACCATTCCAGTCTTCCCATTTCCCACCAAATGGAAAGCACCACACATGAACGTTGATCACGCTGCTTCAGAGCCTGACTTAAGGGTGACCATCTCCTGATGAAGTCCCAGGGCTCATGTTTAACAGTACTGGAATTTTTAGTGATCTTCACCTGACAGTCACTATTGAGGGAGGAAAAAAAATAGTTGCAGTCTGGACAAAAGGTTTCCAGAATGCAATGTAAAGCTCTCAGTCTTTCTTGTCAGGCTTTTCTCTTTTTTTTTTTTTTCTTTTTTTGCAGAGCTGCTTACTTGGAGACTTGCAAGGCTTAGAACAGCTCAGTTTAAGATGGTAGCAGGCAATAGGATTGAGGGGCCAAGCACAGTAAGAAAATCATGCTCCTCATGGTCATGGTCAAGCCAAAA